GGTGAGATTTGAGACTGACTTGTTTCTCAGTCTTTCAGACTGTACTGTGGACGATCCCCTCCCCCGACGGCACAGCTGCCTAATTGACAAGACTGGCTGTATGATGATATAAACACATTATCCTCTAATCTTCCGTCTCCCTGTAGACGTTCGGCACATATGCGATCAGCCTCCCAAAAACCAGACGCGAGAATCGCTCTGTAATTTACAGAAGGAGAAGAACAATCTAGAGTCTTCCTCCCCAGACGGCCATGATGAAATGTGATCCGAGCAGACGATTACAGAGACCACTGGAATCACTTTCAGCGTCTGAGAGGATGACCTGAAGAAATCATAACAATGATCAAATAAAATCTGTCACGTTGAGCTGCGGGTGTAATCTCAGAGGTTCAAAACACCTCAGGCTTTCTCTTTATTGACTGAAAAGTTGAGTCCGTGGAGTACTCCTAAAACGCTTCAGAAGAAAACAAACACCAATGTCTAATTCATATCAGAGGTAAACCTTTTATTAAACGATCTACATTTGCTCAAAGAAATTCATCACTAAGGATTTTTTTGTTCATTTATGAGGGCGTTTTGCTCTTCTTCATTTATTTTACTATTATGTTTTCATTCCAATCATTCATTCACTCATTTTCTTGTCGGCTTAGTCCTTTTATTAATCCAGGGCCGCCACAACTTATCCAGCACATTTTTTCAAGTGGTGCTCACTGCAGAGCCATTTGAGCGGAGCTGAGCTCCAGCGAGGGGGAGCTTGAGCTCTCGCTCCTCCTTTCTTGCACTTCTTCTACGAGTGATGTCACTGGGGGTGGGGTTAGGGGTGGGGTTGGTGTACGCATTAAAACAACTTATCCGAGGATGAGCGAGAGCTCATGCTCCCCCTCACTGGAGCTCAGCTCTGCTCAAATGGCTCTGCAGCGAGCACCGTCTCCATTTTTTAAAGGGTCACAAAACACCAAAACACATTTTTTGAGCTGTTGACAGTCGTATATGTGTGCCACACTGCTAAAAACACTATTAGGACGCCTATATTTCACTAAAAAGTGTGAATTGGTTGTTTTGCGTTATTTCAAGCAAATTCGTACTTCCGGTTTGAAACGAATTTTTGAAGCTGCGTCACGGCGATGAGATATTATCGTGTATTCCAGCGTGCAGACTGGACGTCTGAGCCAGAGTGTGTCTTATTACGTCTTACAGTGTGCTGCATTAATGCATGAGTAGGGCTTGGTTCAAACCAATCAGCGCGCTCTATTGTGCAACTTCATTAATATTCATTACTGTCACACTGTTTAGACGACACTCACACCACGTTGTGTTGGCAAAACAAGCGAAGTGTTGCTTTTATAGTTTGCTGCAGTGAAGTTTTGTTTTCATTTTCTCTCTGAGAGAGCGCAGCTGGAGTCACGTGTGGATTAACAGTGTACGCGACGCTCGACAACAATAACTTACGTGTCTAAGGAGGAACATTGTTTACCTGAGAGCTGTTCTCATCTGCAAACGCTGAGATCCGGATTCGCTTGTAGTCTCCTCTTAATAAAGACGCGGCTCTAGTTGCTGGTGATTGTCCTGTCTCTACAGATTTGGTAAGTGAGCGACCAGTGCTCTTTGTTTATTCAGTTTGTTCCTATCGAACTAAGTTAACCATTGCACCGAGTGTAAACATGTTAGCACCACAACCAAACTTTAACCTCGTGTAGGATTTTCACCGCATTTAGTGACCGGAATAACACACGCGGCTTTCTGACGCTACCTGCCGTGTGCATCTAAGTGTCCGAGAAATGCGGAGGTTTTTTTTCTCTCATTTGCAGTGTGGGTTTAAACATTGCATGAAAAATACACGCTTAAAGCAGTTCCTCGAATCAAATATCTCGTTTGTCGCGAGGCGCATGAATGAATTCCCTGAATGAAAGAGCCAAACTGCAGTTAAAGTCCAACATTTAATAATTTGGCAAATAATTCGACTACAGAAGTCCATGTAGGTTAAACACCATCACTTTTTACTGTGTGTGTGTTTGTGTGTATTCTGAGTCTGAAACTCGCGCGTGCCCAAATAGACACTCCCACACCATTCCACTTTTCTTCCTCCGACACTCCCCCCTAAACAGAGCTGGACACGCCCACTTTTCTGACTTTTTCCAAAGTAGAGGTGTGAAAACACCCTGCTGAAACGAGGGGGTTTCATGGCCCTTTAAGTAGCGGATGCCCTTCCAGCCGCAACCCATCTCTGGGAAACATCCACACACACATTCACACACACACACTCATACACTACGGACAAATTAGAATACCCAAATTCACCTTTACCACATGTCTTTGGACTGTGGGGTAAACCGAAGCACCAGGTGAAAACCCACACAAATGCAGGGAGAACATGCAAACTCCACACAGAAACTCCAACTGAGCCGAGGCTCGAACCAGCGACCCAGCGACCTTCTTGATGTGAGGCGACAGCACTACTGCGCCACTGCTTCGCCCTTTACCATCCTTTAAACTCTTAAATTTTTGATTTATCTATCCCAACTTTATCCCACTACATCATACACTAAAATACTCATAACCCTTAACCTAAACTCTTAGCAAGCACAACACACGGGCGAACACAACTTTTCTCAATTTCCTTAACAAGAAAAGACGCAGATTTGTTTTTGACAAATATGTGCCCGCCGCCTACAAGCTATTTATCACTAATTTGTAATTATATTACAAATGCGTCGCCACTACTGTTTTTCATTTTCTAAAGTTTTACATGGATAAACAAAGTATTGTATTATACACTCTCAGAAAAAAAGGTACACGGTGGTACAAATAATGTTCCTTAAGGAATAGTTTTGTATCTTTGTACAAGTTGTACCCGATATGGTACAGAAAAACCTTTTACGAAACTGTTCTGTACCTTTTATGGTACAACTGAAATGAAGTAACACAATTGTTCTCATAAAAAAAGGTACAGAAGGGTCGAACAACTCCTTCTTTATTCCTTTATTCCTTCATAATATCTATGAAAATAAATAAAAATAAAAGTAAAATAAAATAACAAAGGTATTTAAAAATAAAAAAGTGATTTATAAATAATTTCCATATTAAAACATGAAGCATCATTTAAAAGCATGTTTCAAGAGTTCACACTTAGATATTGCTTGACCGCTGTAAGCAGGTTAGCAGGTTTGGCATGCAGTCCCGGGAGAGAACCCTGAGCTTGGAGATAGTTGAGCCCAGGGCTCCCGCCAGGTCCATAGAGCATGTGAGGGGAGTACGAGATCAGGTGGTTCTCGAGAGCTCCCCTTTTTGTAAAGGAGAAAAGGAGGAGAAAGGGGTGGATGGGGGGTTTCTTCGGAAAACGCAGATAAGGGAGTAATGTCTAGCTAGGCTACTTATAGTGGGTTAGGATAGATCTGATTGGCTAACTAATGAGTGTAGATAGGTGGCCAGCTGCTGTCAATTATATCACGTGCTCCTCTCGAAATGAGTTTAAAAACTTCACTTAAAGAAACTCATGAACATTCATTATTAAGTTCTATAATACAAAACAACTGGTAAACAAAACTATAGCTATTTTTTTAGTAATAACTAAAAACTATTTTGTAAAAACTATTACAAAAATAAAACTATTTTACAAAACTATTGTAAAATAAACATTTAATGCTGGGAACGCGCGGATAAATCGAGCACTCGGTAGGTAGCATCAGAAAGCCGTGCGTGTATAGACTATCCTGTCACAAAATACGGCGAAAATTCTACACAACGGTAATAGTTTGATTGAGGTGTTTACATGGTTACATTCGGAGAGCAGCAATTACAGCTTCCAGCTCATAATATTGTAGTGATTTAACTAAGGTGTGTCTTTAAAAACTGAAAGAGTAATGCTGACCATACTAACTTTGCCTCTGAATAAACATAATCAAAGAACACTGATCACACACTTACCAAATCTGCGGAGACAGAACATTCAAAACATATTGAACCGCGTCTTTTTTAAAAGGAGACGAGTGGCAAATCCGGATGAACCATTGATGTAAAAAGCTCTCTTTATTTATTAACTCATAGCATGCATTTAGGGCACTATTTAGGAAACAATTACCATATACGTCATTCATTTCCCTGCTGAAAAATCCAGCTTATACCAGCCCAGGATGGTTGACTGGTTTTAGCTGGTCGACCAGCCTGGTTTTAGAAAGGTTTTGGCCACTTCCAGGCTGGTTTTCAGCCATTTGCAGTCTTAGCTGGACAGGCTGTAAAGTGACCAGCTTAAACCAGCTTCACCAGTCTGGTTTTAGCTGGACATAGCTGGTTTTGGCTGGGCTCCCAGTCTGGCTAGGCTGGTCAAGCTGGTTTTAGCTGGTCATCTCCCAGCCTGTCCAGCTAAAACCAGGTTGGAAATGGCTGAAAAACAGCCTGGAGGTGGCCAAAACCCCTCTAAAACCAGGCTGGTCGACTAGCTAAAACCAGCTAACCATCCTAGGCTGGTATAAGCTGGATTTTTCAGTAGGGATGGGTGCAACTCATGGCTCAGTGCAGCTTTGAGTGACTCAAATGAATCAATGAATCAATTCGCTGAAGTGAACCAATATAATTAGCTAATATGATCCAATCCTACATCCAAATCCTCAGTGACGCAAAGCCTAGCAGAGATTCCTCAAACAAACCATGAGCTGCAGTGCTCGCTGATGACGGGGGTCTCATTTCAGCTGACAGAACTGAATCAATTAGGGCCTGAACGTAGAGAGTGTGTGTTTGTGCAGACTCTCTGAACATCGAATTCGGCCTCTTTGTTTGTCTCACACAATGATGAAGTCACAAGCAAAGAGTCCGTTGGAGATGACAAGTCCACAAACATCCAACACACACACACATGCGCGCATCCGCCTACAGGCACATCATTAGAAGAAGCAGAGGCAGTGGAGCTCTGTCAAGAAGAGCATTCATGAGGGTCCTGTGCATCTGTGCGAAGACTGCGGTAAATTGGCTGTGTTTGTGTGTGTGTGTCTGTGTGTTTGTTCTACCTGGTGCTGGGATTCCTCCAGATTGCCACTGGCCCACAGCGAGAGACCCAGACGGTGTCGGATTTTGGCCTCGTCCTCCCGACGACCCAGCTGCTCGGCGAGACGCAGACCTGAAAGACACACACACATTCGGTTACAGACGAATACTTCTGAGCATCTCCAGCGTTATGTATTTGGCATTTAAAAAAAGTACCACCATGAAATGACATTTCAAAAGTACTCAAGAGTAGTGAGTACTGAGTATGACACTGTTAAAAGCCGATGCATTTACATGTAATTTGTGCATGTGTGTGTAAACGTAACATTCTGTAGTGCATTTCGTTATTGCCCAGCAGGAGGCACACAGCATCATAAGACGTTAATATTAGGTTATGTAATGTAATGTAATGTAATGTGTATTTATATAGTGCATTTATTGTGTATGGCCATACACCCAAAGCGCTTCACAATCATGAGGGCTGGTCTCTCCACACCACCACCAGTGTGCAGCATCATTAAATAATTTACCATTTAAAACACGTGAAGGTCATGTGACCATTAGGAAGAACCAAGTGTGCCGCAAGCCTACGTTTGAGTGAAGGTTTCGGCCGTTAGATCGCCCCCTGGGGGCTGGCTGCAGTACAAGTCATAAAGCCCGCCTCCTCCGTGTTAATGAAGGAGACTTGAGCCCAAATAAAAAAAATATTACACTTGCAATAAAATGTCCCGAAAGATAGTTCTGGTCGATTAAGGCACTGGTTATTGTGCTGAAATAGGTGCAGATCTTCATTTTTGTAAACAGTTTGTTTTTAGCAGTAATTTAATGCTGGGCGTGTCATCGTGATTGACAGCTGTGATTGACAGTTTCTCAAAGCAGCGCGTCTGAGCTTCGGCAGGAGACTGAAGTAGACTGAAATGTTATTATTCGATTTCTGTGTTATTTTACCATGACAAAATGAGTTCAGCAGTAAACTATAGTTTCTGACATACATGAACCTGGTGGAACACTGTTTATTCGCTAAGTTCAGGGCTTTTTTCGGGCTTTATTAGTTTGCTGATACACGCCTAGCCACCCAGATAGCAAAACACAGTTCCGGCTAGATTCTCGCCTGCCGGAGACTTATCTCTTAGAGCTCAGACTGACTAATGTTACCTCTGCTGGACCTACTCCGGATGCCTGGACTCACTACCCAATTCCAGCCCGAGTCAATCGAGCCAGATGCGGCGGCCGAGCGAGCAGGCGCTGCCGCATGCGAGCCGGAATTAGCCCGCGACGCCGCGAGTAAGTTATGCGCTGCGGCCTGGAGCTGGCGCGATTGAATATATAAAACCCTCATATTTGTTAACGTTATTACATCCATTTGTGTTGATATGACAGCAAACGCATGCTGAGAAGTTCGGGGGGCGTAGTTGATTTTACATAAAGCGTTTGATTGGAAGCTTGACTCTGCTCATTTTCGCGGCTCCTCCTCTGGCTCCATCAGACAATCTTTCTGCGCATGTCTGGCTCCAATTTCAGCAGTCTTTTGCGACAGTTTGTGCCCGTCAAGCAGGCGTTTTGCCCTCAAGGCGTTCAATGGGAAAAAGGGCTGTCGCGTCGTCCATATTTTTTACAGTCATTGGGAAGAACGCAGCATCTCAATTCTCAAAGGACGCGTTCTCTGCCCTCGCGGTCTCCTGAGTTCGTTCTTCCGAGGACACCTGGCAAGACCGCTCTCCACAAGAACACAAGTCCGTTCTCTGCGTTCTTGTAATTGAGAAACAGCTATTGTATACGGTATGCTTTGATTTCTCGCCCAGATCTTATGCTGTTATCTTTGGAGGAAAGAAAATCATATGGCTTTGTAAAGACTTGAAATTTCTTTTGTTGGCTGAACTGTTCCTCCAATAAAAGAATAATCAAAACTCTCTGCGATTGAAGGCAGGAGTGGCTGAAATCCGTTTAAAACGGCTCTCGTACTGTATCTGTCTTGTATTTAAATCCATATTTCAAGCGCGCTGCAATTAATCATCCTAAAATAACAGCCTCCGAAACATTCCCTTTGTCTTTTCCCTCCTCCTTTCCTTTTCATTCTTTGTGTTTTTATGATTTTCATCATCAAACTTTGACATGGCTGTCGGGACATGCTGGTATTTAGGTCTCATCAGGCGCTGATCTAAAGAAAAGCCTCAGAAATGATTTCTTTTTTCATTCAACACAGACTTTAATCGCCGTCTCAATCCCACTTTGATTCCTCTGTCTCGGTGAAGTTCAAACCCGAGACAGTAGAAACGTTCAGTAAAGCACTCGCCTTCTACACGACCACACTCTAGTACATGCCTCTGAACTATAATACATACACAAAGCATTTAGTCAAGTAATGTGTCTAATTGGTAAACAATGTTGATTTTACATACATTCAACATGAACCTGTAATAGGCTACACTTTACCCCGGCCACTTTATTAGGTACACCTTACTAGTACCAGGTTGGAACCCATTTAGTCTTCAGAACTGCCTTAATCTTTTGTGGCAGAGATTCAACAGGGTACTGGAAATATTCCTCAGAGCTTTTGCTCCACATTGGCATGATAGCGTCACGCAGATTTGTCGGCTGCACATCCATGATGCGAATCTCCCGTTCCACCACATCCCAAAGATGCTCTATTGGATTGAGATCTGGTGACTGTGGAGGCCATTTGAGTACAGGGAACTCATTGACATGTTCAAGAAATCAGTCTGAGATGATTTGCGCTTTATGATATGACACGTTCTCCTGCTGATAGTAGCCATCAGAAGATGGAGACACAGTGGTCATAAAGAAATGGACATGGTCAGCAACAATACTCAGGTAGGCTGTGGCGTTGACACGATGCTCAATTGGTACTAATGAGCCCAAAGTGTGCCAAGAAAATATCCCCCACACCATTACACCAGCAGCAGCCTGAACAATGATACAAGGCAGGACGGATCCATGCTTTCATGTTGTTAATGCCAAATTCTGACCCGACCATCCGAATTTCGCAGCAGAAATCGAGACTCATCAGACCAGGCAAGTTTCTCCAATCCTCTATTGCCCAGTTTTGGTGAGCCTGTGTAAATTGTAGCCTCAGTTTCCTGTTCTTAGCTGACAGAAGTGGCACCCGGTGTGGTCTTCTGCTGCTGTAGCCCATCTGCCTCAAGGTTGGACGTGTTGTGCGTTCATAGATGCTCTTCTGCAAACCTAGGTTGTAATGAGTGATTATTTGAGTCACTGTTGCCTCTGACCTCTGGCATCAACAAGGCATTTGCGTCCACAGAACTGCCGCTCACTGAATATTGTCACACCTGTTGCAGTGCCCTAGTTTAGACACTTGAGGGCACTTGTTTGTTTTGTAGTTTCACTTCATTTCCCATAACCCTTTGTATCACTGATTGTGTTATGTTACAGCTGTTTCCTGTTTGTTAATTTAGTCCTGTCTTTATAAACCCTCTTGTTCTCTGTTTTAGTTGCCTTAGGATTTTGATAGCCCCTTACGTCTGGTAATCTAGTTTTTGTATTTTGATAATTCTTGGATTCCTGTTTTGGGTTTGTTTTCTTTAGCACTCTTTAGCACTCCTACCCTGTTTTTTGTATCTACTCGTTTTTTTGATTTTTTGCTTGTTCTCTCGTTTGGACTAGATTTGCATCCTGCTTTTAGTTCTGTGCAAGTTTTGGAAACCTTTATCTTTTGGCAAACTTTGTCTTTTTGGAAACCTTAGTCTTTGTTATAATTGCTGCACTTGGATTTTTTGCGTTGTGTGATTCTCCCCCACTCGTGACATAATCCTAAGGCAACTAAAACAGAGAACAAGAGGGTTTATAAAGACAGGACTCAATTAACAAACATGAAACAGCTGTAACATAACACAATCAGCGAAACAAAGGATTATGGGAAATGAAGTAAAACTACAAAACAAACAAGTGCCCTCAAGTGTCCAAACTAGGGCACTGCAACAGGTGTGACAGAATATTTTCTCTTTTTCAGATCATTCTCTGTAAACCCTAGTTTGGTTGCGCATGAAAATCCCAGTAGATCAGCAGGTTCTGAGCCAACCAACAACCATGCCACGTTCAAAGTCACCTAAATCACCTCTCTTCCTCATTCTGATGCTCGGTTTGAACTGCAGCAGATGGTCTTGACCATGTCTACATGCCTAAATCCATTGAATACATGCCTGAATGCAGATACATTGATACATGCCTGAAGGCAGCCTCACTTTTTCCTTACAATGACTTGCCTAACTACCCTGACTCACCTCGCTAACCTAGTTAAGCCTTTAAATGTCACTTTAAACTGAATACTAGTATCTTGAAAAATATCTAGTCAAATAATATTTACTGTCATCATGGCAAAGATAAAATAAATCAGTTATTAGAAATGAGTGATTAAAACTATTATGTTTAGAAATGTGTTAAGTAAAAAAATCTGTTGATTTGTGAGGGGATGGGGCTTATAATTCAGGAGGGCTAATAATTCTGACTTCAACTCTATATATTTTTGCATAGGCATAATTTCAGTGCGGCACTAATCAAATTGCTTCATTATCAGCCACACAACCAACAAATCGCTCAAGCGTTCTTCATGTGTCAGCCTCTACACAACTGGAATCCCACAAACTGAGGTAAGCGTTTTCCACCCGTCCGTCGTCGCCACTCTTAGTTAATTGGCTGTCAGACGGAGGGACACAGTGGCCTTTGGTGTAAAGGCTTTGAGACAGGATCCACGTCTATCTGGCCTTTTCCTATTCTCCTCACAGGAGGGAACTAGTGTGGTAATTGTCAAAAGTCCTGGATGAAGGTGATTAGAGCATCACTGAGCGTACGGGCCGCCCGTGAGCCACTCTGTTCCCGACGGCTGACAGAAAGTCATTCCAGAAAGACCAGCATGAGACGACACAGTCTTTTTTTTTTTACTGAGAGACATGAGCGATTCAGCTACAAGCCTTTTTCCAACAAAAACCAGAGGAAAATTCATGGAGAGAGCGCTCATCCATCCATCTCAAACAGGATTATTATAGCAACATACGGTCGATTGATAACGCGCTCCAGTTCAGTGTGGCATCAGGAGCCAAACAAATGAGCTGAATTTCAATGACCTCTTGTGGGAGCGAACCACCAGATGTCTTCCTGAATGCGTAAACATGAGCTCTGCAGTTTAAACGTTACGTTCATACCGCAATAAATCATAAGCAAAATGATCTATAGCTGATCTATATCTATATCATCTATAGTACCATACCTAAATAAACAAACGGGTTAAAGATGCAGCATGTAGGTTTGACACCCACCCAGTGGTTGAATTAGGTACTGCACCCCTGAATGGAAACACATTTTCACTCGGCTCCTCCTCTGATGAGTCCACGTAAGTGAAGGTTGCCAGATTGATGCGAGTTTGCCTGACTATCGAGTTTGATTTAAGGCTGATTTGAACTGTTTTCATATTAAAAGCAACACCACGTGATAGAAGAAGTATTTTTCATACTAAAATTAATTTTTGTCCTAACCAACACCTGAAATACATATTTTAGTAACGGCTTCTATTTCTCACAGGTGAACAACGATCACCTCATGTGTTTTATTCCGTGTTAAATGCTAATAATGTGAGTTTGCGTGCCATTTTACATGACATTTATTTAATTTTATTTTATTTTAATTAAATTTTATTTTATTTATTGCCAAACTACTGAAAGCAGCAGCAGATTATTGAAAATAAAATACAAAACATGTAAAATTGAACTTCAGAACAGTGACTCAGTTCAAGCCGAGTTGACAAATATTAATCATCCAACATGTACATATAATAATGTTAGAGTTTGAATATGTATTAATCAGATTAAAAACCTTATCCTTTTGTTGGAGTGCAGTGAGTGCACTATTCTGTGCTTCTGAATAGCTGTATTTCGTGTTTCGTCTGGTGCAAACAGCCAAATTGCTCATCACTGCAAATCTCATCGTTCAGCGTGTTGTTAGGACACAGGTTACAATTTAACCTGCTCACCTAATGTTTACCTATGTAATATTAATACTATTTACTAATTATGGAGCTAATAATATGCCAAAACAATCTGAATTTGGGTTGTGTTCATTTGAATTATTAACAATTGTAAGTTAATAGAACTGAATATTATATGCCATAAAAAAATGTTTTGAATTTTAATTTCTTAACTTGAATTTGAATTTCTTAGCTTGAATATTAAACATCTGAATTGTAAAACATCTGATTTTTTTTACCCTGTACTAAAAAGGCGGCACTATTGACGCATTCCTTCCATAGACATATAATAGGCAACAACTGGTAGGCGACATTTAATGTTAATATATATGAGTCAAAATGGCCTCTGTGGTTCTAGTGTTAAAGGGTCACGAAACACCAAAACACATTTTTTGAGCTGTTGACAGTCGTATATGTGTTAATGTGATGAGATAATAGCGTGTATTCCAGCGTGCAGACTGGACGTCTGTGCCAGAGTGCGTCTTATTACGTCTTACAGTGTGCCACATTAATGCATGAGTAAAGCTTGGTTCAAACCAATCAGCGCGCTCTATTGTGCAACTTCATTAATATTCATTACTGTCACATTGTTTTGTTGACAGACACGCCACGTTGTGTTGGCAAAACAAGCGTGAAGTGTTGCTTTTATAGTTTGCTGCAGTTAAGTTTTGTTTTCATTTTCTCTCTGTGAGAGCGCAGCTGGAGTCACGTGTGGATTAACAGTGTACGCGACGCTCGACAACAATAAACTTACGTGTCTAAGGAGGATTATTGTTTACCTGAGAGCTGTTCTCATCTGCAAACGCTGAGATCCGGATTCGCTTGTAGTCTTCTCTTCATAAAGACGCGGCTCTAGTTGCTGTGGATTGTCCTGTCTACAGATTTGGTAAGTGAGCGACCAGTGCTCTTTGTTTATTCAGCTTGTTTGTATCGAATAAACTACTGCACCGAGTGTAAACATGTTAGCACCACAACCAAACTCGTGTAGGATTTTCACCGCATTTAGTGACCGGAATAACACACGCGGCTTTCTGACACTATCTGCCGTGTGCATCTATGTTTCCGGGAAATGCGGAGGATTTTTTTTCTCTCATTTGCCGTGTGGGATCAAACATTGCATAAAAAAATACACGCTTACAGCAGTTCCTCGAATCAAATATCTCGTTTGTCGCGAGGGACATGAATGAATTCCCTGAATGAAAGAGCCAAACTGCAGTTAAAGTCCACCATTTAATAATTTGGCAAATAATTCGACTACAGATGTCCATGTAAACACAGTCACTTTGTCCCCTGTGGGACTCTGAAAATCAGCGCGCCCAAATAGACACTCCCACACCATGCCTCTTTTCTTCCTCCGACACTCCCCCCTAAACAGAGCTGGACACACCCACTTTTCTGACTTTTTCCAAAGAAGAGGTGTGAAAACACCCTGCTGAAACAAAGGGGTTTCATGGCCCTTTAAAAAGAAATAAAATAAAGATGTATCATGTTTTGAGTCTCTCTTACCTTCCTGCAGGTACATGACGGACTGTGAGTAGTTCTGCAGAGCGTGATGTGTTCGTCCCAGGCTGCTGTATGCCAGAGTTTTGGCCACCAGGTCATTGGTCTGTGCTGCGATGCTCAGATGCTGCTCCTGGTAAACCACTGCTCGCTCGAAATTTCCCAGAGACTCATAAGTGAGTCCGAGATTACCGTAGGCCCGACCTTGACAGCTGGCGTTGCCTGTCTCTTCTGCGATCTGGAGATCCAGTTGGTGAAACTGAAGAGCTGTGTCGTGTTCGCCCATCAGCTGATAAACAGCGCCCAGGCCACAGCTGGCGTCACCCTCCAGCAATCGATCTTGGGTGTCGCGGGCGATGCCGAGCTGCCGTTCCAGGCATGAGATGGCCTGCTCGTAGTTCCCCAGCTGGCTGTGCAAGCTGCCCAGTTCTCCGTAAGCTTGAGCTTTTCCCCCACACTCTCCAAGTTCATGCGCCACCACTAACCGCTTCTCAAAACACACCAGAGACTGCTGAAGGTTCCCCATCGCCCTGATAAACAAAGCGGAAGAGCATATTACACAGAGTAGAGCAATGGAGATACAAAATATTTAGACGGACTAACTGTAAAACAATTAGGTTGAGCGTGACATTTTGAGTACTTTGTTTTCATCCTTTACAGTGGTCAGAAATATTGGCACCCCTAAACTTTTCAGGGGAAATATCTCTTGTATGTCTATTTTATTCCCGTTTTTTAACATCCTAGACAGTGGTCAAAAGTATTGGCACCCCTAAACTCTTCTGGTGTGATATATATATATATATATATATATATATATATATATATATATATATATATACATACATATATACATATATATATATATACATACATACATACATACATACATACATACATACATACATATATATATATATAGCATTCAATAGCATATATATGTTTTAGGCAGATTATTTATTAAAACATATATGTTAAAGATATTTTTTCCTTCACAGGAATACAATCCTAAAATATGTGTATATTCCTAATAAATGAATGAATGAATAAGTAAATAAATAATTAAATAAATAAAATTATTAGTATTAGTAATGCACTTTTCATAAACTCAAAGTACTACAGTAAAAATTAAACACACAATTAATAAATATAAAATTCACCATCAATTAAATTAGAAAAGAGATTAAAAAAAATAATAATAATACATGCAGCATTAGTGCCAATAACATGCATTTAATAGGGGAAAACAGTGTGGTAGTATGTGAGATTACTGATTTGACAGGTAAATATAAACTTAATTAAGCACAGCCCATTTTGAAAATGAATATTTTTATCCATTTCTCAGTGTATATAGGCAATGTATTTTGGTGTATTTGAACAAAACAGATTTATTAAACAGATATACTTATTAAAATAACATTTCAGTCATCAAGCATATGTAGAAATTAAAAAATAATACAATAAAATTAAATTCAAGTAAAATATGGCAAAAAATACAACCTCATGTTTTATTTATTTATTTTTTTGTTTTTCTTGATTTTTCCTCTTTTTAAATTTTGTTTTTAATATTTTTTATAACATAAAAATTGGGTGTACCAGTTTTTGGACTGTTATCGTAAGTTATTTTGTTAGACAAGCTTCAGATTTGGCTTTAGTACTAACTATATCTAATGTATTTGCACAAATATAATATTGTATAGCTTCCTATCACAAATATGAATTTAAAAGAGAGATTTGTGAGGGGTATATATACATATACATATACATATATATACATACATACATATATATACATAGATACATACATATATATATATATATATATATATATATATATATATACACACACACACACACACACACACACACACACACACACACACACACACACACATATATATATATATATATATATATATATATATACATACACATACATACATATACATACACACACACACACAC